AGACTAGAAAAAATGCTAATAATAACAATATTCATTGTTAAATGAGTAAAGTACGGGTTTAAAAAAAATAAACTAATAATAGTTTATTTATATTACAATAAATATCTTATATCAAATACAGTATTTTTCCACATTATGTGTCAATTGGTCAAAGAAATTATCAGATTAATAGATTTAAATCTGTGGAAAAAATTAAATGTACCAAAAGATCAGAAAAGCGAAAATAGTGTAAGAAAAATAGCATTTGAAAATACAGAGAAGACATTTCAATAGAATAAGAAACTAGTGGTGCATGGCATCGTGCCTTACGGCAAATTGCTGGAACTTTCCGTAAGGTAGTTAAAGATTCTTCAGAAAACTTGTGTATGTATGTTTATAAAAAATTTGTTCATTTTTTTAATTAGATTTAGAATATTAATTAGATTAATTTTGATAATTTAGAATTTTCTTTAAAATCTTGAATATTTTTTGGATTTTTTTTGGAAAAATGGATTTATTTAAATTTTTTGAGAATTTAGAAATTTTTGAAACATAAGAAATCGATTTTTTTTAAATTCTGATATTTTTTGAAATTTTTCAAAATTTGGATTTTTTTTGAAAATGAAAAATTTCGAAAATTTGAATTTTTTGAAACGAATTTTTTTTGAAAATTTGTAATTTTTTTTGAAAATTTTCAAGATTACAATATTTTTTAAAAGCATTTTTTGCACACCGTTTTTACAAGCAAAATAAAAATAAAAGGTTTTTTGAATTAATCTAATCGGATGATCTCGAAAACTGCAGAGCAATTTTTACACCCTCTGCGCTTCATTCTCTCAAAAACAGAATTATCATTTTTGCTGCCTTTGCCAAAAACTAATCAGCACATCTCCTTATCAATACGAATCGAATGTTTTTTGAATTAATCAAATTGAATCGGTTGATCCGCGATTCCAAAATCGTCGACGAAAATTTGCATCCGCACACACACATATAATTCTATTTTTTCTAAGGTATGCCAAAATGTTCAGAAACCTTTGAAACGTAAAAGGTATGCAAAAATTTTAATTTTTTTATTTTTTTGCGATTACCCTACGGGAAGTTAAAACTCAAAATTATACTAATACTAACTTACTATGATATATAGAATTTTCAATAATATGTAAACAATTTTACAAGAAAAACATAGGTAAAAAATTAGAAACTGGTTTCTCTACAAATACTCGGACTCGAGGATACTGATATTGGTTTATATTCTGAAAGTCAAGGTTTAGAACTGTTCTTTTATATTGTCTGAAGTAAATTTTTAACGATAATATGCTCTTTTATCACTTTCGACTATTAATTCACATTAGTAGTAAATATAATAAAACCACCTGATACCTAGCAGCAGTGATATTTATATTTACTTAAGTATAGATAGATCATAGATTATGAAGGAAAATATTACTATTACCATCATTTGCAGGACAACCAATTAGATGTTTTTTTTAAATAAAAATGATGACTAAAATAGTACAATAATTATTTAATTGCCTTCTAAAAGAAATTACTAAAAATAATCATTATAAACAATTATCATCATAACAGCTTGTAGAAATCAAAATTCTGAGTCTTGTTCAAAATACAAAAAACATGGAAAGGATATGTCCTTTCAAACATTATTCTCCTTTACCAAATCTAGGCCAGGAAAGAGGTCCTAGGTCAAACATACCTAATGGTGATAAATGTGTTAGCCAAAGTATTAAAAACCCATAAAAATAAATGAGAGTCCGAGAAAAAAAAACAGTACCAAGGCCGTTGATTTTATTGGCAATCAGTTTTATGAGTAAGACGGAAAGAGGCAGAAAGAGATTGTCAATTTTATGCGAAATCAATACCGAAGAAAGCGAATGGTATTATTTTTACGAGCTCCAAGGACATTATGAGCTCCACTTGGATGGATCATTGGGAAGGGTTGGAGTCGGTGGATAAAATGGAGATAAGGACGACATTGAAATGAAATTCAGTTGTTTTGTATATTTTAATAAATACATTTTTATAAATAAAGATTTTATTCTTGAACTAGTATGAAATTAATTTTAAACTTTTCAATTATTATTCAAGAATCAAAACTAAAAAATTCATAAATCGCTGTTTAAGAGGCCTTCCATTAATCACGTGATCATTTTTTTAAGAATTTTGGACCTTCCCTCTCCCTTGAGAGAGCGTCCATTAATCACGTGAGGTTTTTTGGGGTGAGGGGTTTGATAGAAAAATTACAAAATATCACGTCGGAATGGTTTAGTAAGATATTACGTGTATTTATTTTTTACGTGAATTTTTTAAAAAAAATTCAAACTTCTAAAAAAAATTATGATTTTTTCTTCAAAATAAAAATACTTGTAATGTTTGGTGGGGGGGACGGAGATATTTTTAAATATCACCACGTATCACCGAGAGGGAGGGGGAGTCAAAAATCTCTAAAAAATCGGTCACGTGATTAATGGACGCCCCCTGATATTCAAAATTACCTTCCCTCCTCTCCTCCAAATGTATAATTTTTTTTTTAAATTCAGGTCAAAAATAGATGCATGTGATATCTTGCTATACTACTCCCTCTCTCACGTGATATTTCGTGATTTTTTGTCAAACCCTCAAAAGACCTCTCGTGAATTAAAGGCGCACCCTAACAAAAAACCCTATTTGCAATCAAACAGAATCTTGGTTTTGACGAGAATCTAATATAAACTTAGATTTTGCCCTCCTATTAGCATTTTTTTTTTATTATTAATTTATAAATAGTAATAAAAATTACATAAAATTCTATGAGCTCTTCTGCTATGGTTTAACAACAAAAAAAATATATATAATAAATATAATAATAATATAAATAATAATGATAATAGTTTTAAAAAAAATATATAAATAAAAAAATAATAGTTTTAAAATCTGCTTCTGGAGAAATATCAAGAAAAAATATGTAGTAACAAAGTTATAAATTTTACTAGAACAAATAGAAACAAAAGATTTAAATCCCTTAAATAAACAAATATCAGCAGGTGAGTGTTGCTATTCTTTGAAGTTAAAAAAAAAGAAAGATTTCAGACCCCAAAAAAATTATATCGGACATCATCATATAAAACACTAAATTATTCAATCATCTTCTCATTTTGGAAATGCATTCGTCTTTGCATAAAAGTAATAAACATATTTAAAAATGAAAATAATTATTACTGAAAGACACTCAAAAGGCTTAGAATATTCAATTAAAAGCATCAGTTTCATTCGAATTTATAGGAAATTTATTTATTTGTAATAATAAACTATGTTAAGCTGGAATTAACAAATATGTGATTTTGGAAGTAATGGAAAAATTCTATAATTATAAATAATCCAAAGAAACAAAATAATTATCAAAGATTTCTGGTTATAAATTTATCTGTTCCAATTACAACATCAGCTCTGCCTTTAAAAGTCGAAAAAACAGTATTGTTCCGAGTTTTATAAAATGTTTCTTCAATCGGAAAATTAATCTCGTTCTCGGTCGTTTTTTTGTTTCTTCTGTTTTAATTTAATTTTGGAACAAATTTTAAAGTAATTCTAGAAAAAAAAACTACAAACTGCTACATACATTTTTAGTATGCAAATAAATCCAGAAACTTGAAATAGCAAGATTTTTGCGAATTACAATTCTATATAAAAAAAACAATTTTGAAAGAACGTTAACGAAACTCTACTTTTGACTCAATCATATCATAAATGCGACCGTCGACATGAGTTTTTACTATCATATTTTTTCAAATTTTAATGATTTTTTTAAAATTAACCCACTAGTCGTAGGGACGTGAAATTTTAGTATGTATGATTATGATCATGTATGAAATCATAAAAAAAATCATTAAAATCGTCAAATTTTTACCAACCAATATCTTTCGAACAGATTTTGAATTTTTAAAATCGATTTAAAACATGGACGAACTAGTGGTGCATGGCATTGTGCCTTAAGGCAAATTACTGGAACTTCCCGTACCAAAAATTAATTTTTTTAAAAAAGATTCAATTTTCTTTAGAACTCTGAAAAAAAAAACGATTTTTTAGATTTTTTAAATTTTTGTAAAAAAATGTATTTATTTGAAAAACTTGATTTTTTATGGTTTGAAATATTTTGGAAATTTTGAACAAAGCAATCGGTTTACGTCAGATGCGTAGAAATGAAATATCGAAGCGCGTGGGCGCCGCGTTGCAGTATTACGGGTAAACAATGGTACGAAACATACAGAAAAGTGAAACAAATTTATTATTATTAAAATATCTATAAAATGTGTAATAATTTGATGTGCATTAAAATTTGTATCCGCACCCATACATACTCACAAACTCGGACACACACACGTTAATTTTTTCTGAGGTGTGCCAAAATGTTCAGAAGCCTTTGAAACGTGAAGATATGCAAAAAAATTCTTTTTCGATTTTTTTTTGTAATTATGTACTATAACTTATCCTACAGGAAGTTAAAAATGTTTCACTTTTATGCTAATTATAAGAAACGGATTGGTCGATCGTTGTGCAAAACTATAAGCTTATTGAAATCCCTTGGCTTTTATTTTTGGAAATTGATATAGCAGTTTTTGAGAAAACGTCGACGAAAGGTCAAAAATCGTATATGTCTCAATACCAGTATTGTGAGCAGAGCCAGTCACACATCAATCTCGCATATCTCAGAAACTATTAAATGTTCCAACTTTAAATTTTTGTCAAATATTTAGTAAAGTGTAGTAACAATGTGTGTCAAGTTTCATCAAAATAGAATTATGCATTTTTGAAAACGTACAATCTGTTTCAATACCAGTATTGAGAGCCTAGACTTTTCAACCTGATTTAACATTTTCATACACATATGTGCGAACATTATAGAAGGCTCCTGTGACTTGAGTATCACATAATTCATTGATACCAAAATACCAAAATTTATTAGGAAGTAACATGAATAATACTTTCTATATCAATAACTCTTTTTACAAAAGTGTTTTTTTTATTACCTGTAGCCCCACAAAAAGCGTTCCGTCCGATCCTTCCGAACCATTTCAGCATCCTACTCAAGGATGCCTTGTGCAGATTTCTGACCTGTTGTTCAGGCACAGGTTGACTATTCGAAATTGTCTCTATTTCAGATTCGTTAGGTTGGCAACCGTACAAAGCTTCGTAATGTTTGCCAGCCTGTGCAATCACGCACGCGTTTTGCTGCTTTTCTGGCCCATAAAGGGCCACCGTCGAATCTTTTCTACTGGGGGGATACATGGTAAAAAAAATTTGGGAAAATTTTGGGATGATCACGTAATATCCATTTTTGGAGGATGCTACATGGCGGATTCACTGCGTCTTGGCCTAAAAATTTGGCACTACTTTAAGTATGAAATACTTAAAGGTAATAAACTATTTTTCACGCCTCGTTTGATGTTTTGGCACCATATGAATAGGCACTAAATCACTTAGTGTAGAAATCCATAAAAAATCACAAATAGTTTGAAATTTGTTTGGGTCTTATAAATATAATATACAAATGCACTTGCAACTTTTAATTTATTAAATCTTGGAACACACTTAAAATTTTTATAATAAATTATATATAGTTTATTTCATACTATATCACAATTTCTTTAGTGTTTTTATTCTATAATACTTATACGATCACAGAGCGTACGTTACTAATTTTTTTTTACCTCAGTTCATTTTATCACAATTGTTTTATTCACTGCTAAATATATTTTTATCTAGTTAGTATTAGTATTTTGCCTTGCGGCAAGTTACATGAACTTCTCAATATGTGTAAATAATCGACCTAATCAATGAAAAATAAATTCATTTATGAGTGATTAAAAGTACTCCGAGTGGATTTATTAAACATAATTGTAAATAAACGAACACGTTAACTCGGAGTATTTTGTAAAAGAAAATTTTTATAAACCAATATTTTTTTTATTGTACCAGTTTCCGTAGGACTTTAATAGTTTAGTATGTTCATCAAGACCAAGTACTCTATCGTTATACCAAGTAAATTTAACAAACTTAAAAAAAACTACTCATATTCTCAAACTTTGGTGAAATTTTAAAATTAAACAACTTGTTGTAAGGCCGTAATATTTCAGTAAGTTCTATAAGACCATGATATATATCACCAAAAAAAAGTTCCATAAAAATCGACTTAAATTTTTTGCAACAGTTAATTACAAGAAAACAGCTCGGTAGATTTTCACCTAAAACTAATCAGTATAATTTCCAATTAATATCTTTCGAATAGTATTTGATTTTTTTACAATTTATTGGGTAGAATGAGCTTAAATGTGGACGAAAAGTTTAACACTTTTTTTCAAATTACAAAGAAACGGCTCAGCAGATCGTCTCACAACGATAGTCCTCATTGAGATACACCAAATGGCTTTCAAATTTCTGAAATCGGTTCAGGCGTTCTTGAGAAAACGTTGATGAAAGGTCTAATTTTGACAAATGCCAAAAAACGATACTAATTTTTGCAAACTTTGACGATTTTTTAAAATTAAACGACTTGTCGTAGGGCCGTAATATTTTAGTATGATCTATAAGACTTGGTATCTACCGTCAAAAAAATCATAAAAATCGACGAATTTTTTTTCAACACTTTATTATAAGAAAACAGCCCTGCCGAACTTCACCAAAAACTAATCACCACGATAACCAACCAATATCTTTCAAGCAGTTTTTGAATTTTCAAAATCGATCCAGAATTGCGGGCAAAAACGTGGACTATTTTTTTTTCACTTTTCTGCAATTAACAAAGAAACGGCTTGGCTGATCGTCGCGCAATTAGTCCTCATCGAGATACATCGAATGGCTTTTAAATTTTTGAAATCGGTCCAGCCGTTTTTGAAAAAACGTCAATTTACGGCAAAAAATCTGTTCACATACACATACACATATACACACACATACTTTTTACGTCGAGAAAACATAAAATTAGCGAATCGAATTTTTTGATGAAAACAAACTTCTTCTTCGGGAAGTTAATAAATGCTAATATTCTTAACTCACACTTAAAATTTTTACAATAAATTATATGCAGTTTATTTCGTATTATATCACAATTTCTTTATCGTTTTTATTCACAGAGCGTACGTTACTATTTTTTTACCATTTTATAACAATTTTTTCATTCACTGCTAAATATATTTTTAATTAATTAACGACGATATATTCGCGTCTGAACACATGTTTATAATTAAATAATAAATTATTCCGTAACGATTATTATTTATTGGCGTAGAAATAATAACATTCGTTAACAATGCCAATTATAAAGTTTTCATAGAATATCATGTTCCTTATCGGGAAGCTAATTGAAAGACACACACTCGTGTGATTTACAATATGAGAATTGGTTTTTGCCTGGGTGCTCCCATTAATCTAGGAAGATCAACAGTATAAAAGTTTATATACGCCCTGACGAGATATGAGATGGCCAATTGTATAATATAAAGTGGGTCAATAGGTCAATTTATATAAAAACCAAAATCTAAGGTGTTAATAAACTTTAAAGAAAAACAATATTCAGCCTGTATATGGATTACAGTACAAAACCCAAATTTGGAGACTTGGTTGATGACAGCAAATATTATTTTCACCAATGAAGATACCACAGAGATACATATATACATCACTGATTTTTCAAATAGAGTTAGGAATTTTTTAACAATAATATTTGAAAATAGAGGGCAAAAGATGTATAACCAGCGAGCACCTTAATTCTTGCGACATTCCTATCAGGAGATATATGGCAATGTTTGAAAATCCATAACAAAAGTATTTTCTTTCGTTAGTTTTTTTTGGTCGTGAACACTGTTGTTTAGTTTACGAGACCTCAATATAATTTTTATGTGCACGTTATTTAAATGTGTCATAAGAATATTAATTTTGAGTTAGATTCAACAGTTTTTTTTATATAATCTCTAGAAAGACTGGCATGTGGGTGGGTTAAAAAGGACCAACTGAACCTTCATCCTTGCAAAAGTGTGAATAATAAAACATAGTAAATTAAGTTAAAAAAAAACTACTTGACAAGATATAAGTCAAATAGTTATTTCATCTCTGTTGATTATTGTTTGTGAAGAAATTCCAGATGAAGGTTATATACAATGTTATCTCTAAAAATGGAGGTTCATTTAAGCAATAATTACCTGAATTAGTTACTTAAAAAATTGGTAACCTTTTTCCATGAAATTTATATTTAGTATTAGTTGAATAATGTAGCTATTATTTCGTAAAATTCCTTTGCAATTAAAAGTAAGACATTGACCCCTGGCTGTCCCATTATACCCTGACTGTAGAGTAAAAAAGACCAAATGACAAATTTTTGAAAAAGTGTAAAAAGCACATTTCTACTTTGATGGGGGAGTACTGAACATAGTCAGACAGTTGTTGTAAAATACCTTTAAAATTAAAAATAAGACATTATATTAGTTTGACCCCTGGTTGACCCATTTAACCCCGCCTATAGGGTAAAAAGAACCAGGTGAAAATTTTTTGAAAAACAGCAAAGAAAACAAATTTATACTGTGATGGGAGTTTTACTGAACACAGTTAGTTAGTAGTTGTAAATCCTTTTAAAATAAGACATTGTATTTGACCCCTGGCTGAACCATTTTACCACGCCTATGGGGTAAAAAGGACCAGATAACAAATTTTTAAAGAACACCAAAAAACACTGCTCTACTATAATGGGAGTTTTACTGAACATAGTCAGATAGTTGTTGTGTAAATCCCTTTAAAATTAAAAATAAAACATTGTATTTGTTTGCCCCCAGGTTGATCCATTTTATCCCACCTATGGGGTAAAAAACACCAGATAATTTTTTAAAAAACAGTAAAAAACATTTCTACTATGATGCGAGTTTTACTAAAAGTAGTCAGATTCTTCTAAAATTTTGTCAGTTCTTGCCTAAACAAAACCTCTACAATGAATAAAAATTTAACGAGAAAGGGTCACCAATTTTTTGGACAATTTTATATAATTGAAGTATCAAAAACTTTAAAACATCAATTTTTACTTTATTGTTTTACTTTAGATATTGTATAGACATTTTTTTTTTTGGTTTTGCTCGGTTTAAAAGTTTGACGCTTTTTTATGAAGATTACATATTTCAATATATTTCTTTGAATTTATTTATCGAATGTATGCTTAATGTCATAATTCATTGATCAGCTTTATATAAACTTTGCACATCTCAAAATTTTGATTCACTTGTCGCTAAGTTAGAAAATTCTATAAAACAAATGAAATTTTACCCATAAAAAACTTTGATTGGAGTGCGGACTATCTTAAAGTTAATATTAAGAGCTCAAACTTTCAGAGAATAGTTTATTATTTTGGAAGCATTTTAGCCCCAGGAAGCAACAAAAATCGGAAATATCCATATTAAAGACCACACTTACATATTATGAATTTTACTTTTTTATTTTGAAGCATATTTATAAAATTTTAAATCTTTAACACATCCGAATAACAAATTCATCCAACTTGCTTTTTTCTTAGCACATTCACAATTTCTCACAATCGCGCGACCATTTTTAGACAAAATCATTTTTTAAACTTGGCGCTGGACCGCTTAAGGATGCTGTTTCCGCCAACTAATAATTTTATGAAAAATAAAAAAACAATTCTGTCACATCTAAGCATCTTAAATAATCGACCATGCGCGCGATTTACAAACCATTTTACGAATGTGATTTCTCATTGGCATATTTGAACTGACGGCAAAATATTAGTCATTCACATAGATGTTTTATATATTTGTTCACACCGATTGTATAAGCTATAAGGAGTCAGGGTTTGGAAACCTATTGATTAGGAGGTCTACTTTATATTTTCAAAAGCCGTCTAAAAAAATTTGCACCATTACGCGTGTATGTATGTAAATATTTACTCTGGCTTGTGCTCGAACAAAAGTTTATAAACACTTTTTTTTGTTTTCTAATTCCAATTGAAATTAAACATAATATTTACAATCAATTTATAATTTCTATTTGTATTTTAAACAATTTCAAAAATATTTATAATTCTTCAAATTTCCTCGTCGTTAAGTAATTTACCTCGGATATCAATTTATTAAACATTTGTTCAACGATAAATGTTTATAAAACAATAAATTTGTAAACATAAATATTAAAGCCGATATCGTACTTTATCTTTTCAATTAAGCTAAAATACGTAGATCAGGTTGAGTGAAAATTTATTTATATTAAATATTTATATATAAATACGACTTCAATGGGAGTGATATCGTTTTATACAATGGCAAAATGTGATTCATAAAAAATGTTTATAAACAAACATTTGATTGATTATTATTTATCTAATAGTATTATTTATCGAATAGTAAACAACTTGTCAGCATTCTCTGCTAAATGTGATTATTTTTATAGATTGCAGAATTAAAATAAAATCAAAAAAAAAAATT